GGGGACTACAAGTCTGGCCCAGGGTCAACAGGGCACAATTGAAAATGTCTCGACTCAGATTCCACAAAGATGTTGATAGAATCATCTGTGTTGTTTCCTCGGCACTCTTGGTTGAGCTGTTTAGAAAATCTGCCCCTCTCTTGGTTGGGTCCCAAACACCCACTGCCCACTTTATGCTAAATACCTCTACCCTTTCACTGGAGAACAGTCTCATTGCTTTAGAAATCTGAAACTAGGGTGGGCTATTTTGACCCTTGCCAAAAGCGTGCAAGGAAGCTGATTCCTAGGCAACTCCTATAGAGAAACATTAAGGCCAAAAACCCAGATAGTCCAGTCTGGCCTCTGAACTCTTTTTGACTTCGGTATCAGCAGTCTCATCAGTCTAGCTGTAAGCTGTACTGCCTGGGAGTCAAAAGCCTTTGACAATTGGAAATCTTTATGGTGGTTGTTTTATTGCGCACCGCCCCCTCCACGTACACACACACACACACAGAACTCTCCCTCTTAGTGCACTCACTCATGTGCACCAGCACTCACAACCCTTTCCTCCAGACTGTGACAGGAGATAGGAAAAGCCCCCAGGGGATCTTGGAGGTCACACCCATGGTTTCTGGGGCTGTATACTCTGAGCCCCTTGCCATTGTGTTTCCCATTGTACTAGTCACTTTGTTTACCCTGGGACTAATATCACTATCCCCTAGTGACTAGAGTTGAGAATGCATCTCCCTGGAAAAACACACATGGACTATCCTACATGTTCCCACACCATTTGTAATAACCAAATGCTATTATGCTTCTAAAAACTGCTTGTATTGTCTCAATCAGATGCTTGTGTCCTCTCCTGGGAGCTATACTTATCATGAGCCTGTTAATTGATAATCCTAAACAAATAAGCTGAGGAGGCTCAAGAAGGGAGAATGAGGTAGAAAAAGTGGGAAAAAAAAAACAAAAACAAAAACACAGACACACAGACTTTCAGGATGGCTACCAGCCTTGCAGCTATCAGTCCCAAACAGGCGGTACTTCCCAGCCCTGGGCAAGAGGCCCTTTCCCCAGAGTCTTCCCCCCACCACCTTGTCAACTGTCCCTATAAAAAAGTGTAAACCAAGAGTGAGGGACTGGAGATTAGAGTGCTAGCTCCTCTGTGCCCACCAGTGTAATAAAGGTTATGAAGTTCTCCTATTTCTCTGAGTGCTAGTTCACTTCTGGCTTCTGGTTTTTCCACAACACTATGATTTTCTGCCTTTGCTAATCTCTGGAAGACTCTGTTGGCCTCGCCTGTACCACTCAGAAAGTAATTTCCATGTAACAGGGTGATCCTGAGAATCTGGGACCCTATGTAAGCTCCTCAAGTGGGGGGTGATTTCTCGCTTTCTGTCTCTATGTCTCTCTCTGTCTGTCTGGCGAGCGCACGCGCCCTACAGTGAAAATCTCTCCAAAAAAAAAAGTGTAAACCAAGAGTGAGGGGCTGGAGATTAGAGTGCTAGCTCCTTTGTGCCCATCAGTGTAATAAAGGTTATGAAGTCCTCCTATTTCTCTGAGTGCTAGTTCACTTCTGGCTTCTGGTTTTTCCACAACACTATGATTTTCTGCCTTTGCTAATCTCTGGAAGACTCTGTTGGCCTCGCCTGTACCACTCAGACAGTAATTTCCATGTAACAGGGTGATCCTGAGAATCTGGGACCCTATGTAAGCTCCTCAAGACTTGTTTGTGTTTCCAGGGGAACCAGTGGAGAGCTTCTGAGCATGAACGCAACAACCCCAACCTGGGAAACCGAAATCACAGCAACAAATGCAACCAACCAGGTCAATGCTGGATCTTGCCTCAATGTGATCTTCAACCTAAATTTGTTGAAAATCACCATTGCTCTGTTTGGGATGCCGGGAAACGCCATTGTGCTCTGGCTCCTGAGCTTCCGCATGCGCAGGCATGCCTTCTCCGTCTACATCCTCAACCTGGCTGGAGCCGACTTCCTTTTCCTTGGTGTCCATGTTGCTAGGTCCCTGGAGCAAATCATCAAGTCCATCTTCAGCCATGACAAGAAGGAATTCATCCCATTTTTCTTCACCACTGTGTTGAACTTCACCTATATCACAGGCCTGAGCATTCTCAGTGCTATTAGCACTGAGCGCTGCCTGTCGGTCCTGTGCCCCATCTGGTACCATTGCCACCGCCCAAGGCATCTTTCAGCAGTCACATGCACCCTGCTCTGGTCCCTGTCCCTGCTGATGAGCATCCTAGAAGGCAAATATTGTGCTTTCCTGTTCACAGGTTCTAACTATAAGTGGTGCCAGGTATTTGACTTCCTCCTGTTCGCATGGCTGATTGTTTTATTCATTGTTCTCTCTGGGTCCAGCCTGATGCTGGTGGCCAGGATTCTCTGCAGTTCCAGAAGGACACGGCTAACCAGTCTCTACATGGTCATCCTGCTCACCACTCTGGCCTTCCTGCTCTTTGGCCTTCCCTTCGGCATTTACTGGTTCCTCTTATTCTGGATTGAAAATTATTTAAAATCATTATTTTGTGATATTCCTTTGGTTTTACTTGTTTTGTCAGCTATTAACAGCAGCATTAATCCAATCATCTACTTTCTAGTTGGCTCCTTCAGAAAGCGACAGTGGCGTCGGCAGAGGCAAACCCTCAGGCTGGTTCTCCAGCGGGCTCTGCAGGACACTACTTAGGTGAACGAACATGGAGGCAGCTTTCAGTAGGAAACCCTGGAAGTGACCAGAGACAGTCTGGTATAGAGACCAAGAGCCTCATCACTGGTCAGATACATGTGACTTTGAGAGTCAACTTTGCCCTTATCGAGAAATTTCTTAACTTCTTTGAGCCTCGGGTCCATGATCTTAAATAGGTTAAGACAAAAATCTTTCTCCTTCAGATTAACCAAGAGGGTGCCTATTAAATTTGATTACAGGCTATGTGGAACAGCCTTACTCAGGGACTTCAACCCACTTCCATGTAAGCTTTGCCAACTTTTTTTCACAGCTTTGTCCAGGACTGCTTCAGTTTTTGAAGAATCCACCTTTCAGCAGAAGGTTGAAATCAGCACAGGAAAGCTTTAAATTTCTTTAATCAGTGCACTTAATAGGGAATTTAAAAATGGACTAAAGCCTTTTGCACAAGTATCTTTTGTCTCTTTCATACAATTTCAGTCTTGAATAAAATGAAAAGAATTAAATTCCAATCTAGCCCTGAAGAGCAATTTTCTTTCACTTTGGAAGGCCTTAGAATCTCTCTAAAGGTCGATAAATGTTTATTGGATAAATGAGTTAATGAATGAACATAAACTCATGAATTTTTGAAAGTCAAGCCTATAGTAAATCTTCATTTACCAGATTTGATTCACTTTCATGAAAATTACTGGTTTCACACTTTTAGCTTTGAAACCATGAAACTGAGTATAACTAGATCAATCAATATCAAAAATACTTAAGGTTCGAGGTAGACTGTCTTCCAGTGGTTTCCTCTCACATGCCTCTTTGAGAATAACTCTTGCATCCCTTTCCACTCCTTCACATTTCTTCTCCCTAATTCTTTTTATTTGTTCTGCTCTCTCATCCCTCATGTAATTTACTCACTGTACATCTTTATAATGCACAACATGGTTTTTTTCCCAGCATGAAAGTGGTGCATATTAATCAAGTCAAAGATATTACCATATACATTATCAACAGAAGATCAGGTGATCCAGACCATTCAGGGGCTTGACTATTCCTTCACTACAAAATCCCACACTGCTTGGTTGGTCTGCTTCCTACACAGTCTCATGGTGGGCAACAAAGACTCCAAGATGATGATTCCTTGCAGGGAGAGGGACTGTATAAGATAGAAAGGGAGAGGCCAAGATAAGTGACTGGAATCGAGCAAATGGTGATAAACATCTCCTGAGGTGTCTTGACTGTCATTTGCTGGTGCCTCCATTCATGAATTCACAGGGATGTCTGGCATATTAATGAGCCTCTCTGTAACCAGTATTAATGGGGCGCTCCCTTCATCCTGACCCTGGCACAGCATCACATGATATAGAAAGACCTTCTTACATCTGTTAAAGTCAGGCCTTCTTTCCTGTTGACTCTGAGTCTTTTGGAGAAAAAAACTTGTGCTTTTAACCAATTACTAAATTAAGAAGTTTATAACCTGTAAGACACCAGACTTCCAGATGTCCCACCTATTTGGGCCAGGTCAATGTAAAGTTCCATATATTGATTTGTAATATTGTTTGTGTCTTCTGTCCTCAGAACTGAATAAAAGAGTCACTATATCTAAGCACCCCAAAATACTTTCTCAAGACTACTAGGGATTACTTCTGGGTATTGGTCATTCATATTTATTAGAATAGTTTTAATAACTTCTACAGATATTGGTTATTTCCACTGACATAACATAACCTGTGGATGGTGAGTGCTGGGGGTAGAGGTATGGTTGGACAAGAGAATATTTCCTTGTCAGAGTGCTGCAGTTCCCAGAGCTCAGGCTTTAGGGTCAGTGAGGATCGGGTTTAAATCCAGGACCCAGAAATCTCTACCTTTGATAATTACTCAGTCTCCACAAATCTCCATATCCCACCTCTGTAACACACACAGACAGTAATTCCCACAGAGAAAGATGATCCTGAGAAACAGTGAGCACACAATGGGCACTCAAGTCTTGTTTGTGTTCCCAGGACAGCAATGAAGGGTTTCTGAGCATGAATCCAACCATACTAGCCTGGAGGACAGAACTCACACCAATGAATGGAAGTGGCCAGGTGATTCCTCTACTTGGTGAATTGGACACCCTGACCCTAGGCTCACTGACCATCATCTTTGTTCCTGGTGAACTGGCAGGAAATAGGGTTGTGGGACTTTTGGGCTTCTGCATATGCAGGAAATCTCCTCTACATCATTAGTGCTGGCTTCCTCTTCCCTTGCAGCCGCTATATCACACATTCTCTGCTGGAACTCAGCAGACCTTCCATTCCATCTCTGTCTCTACTGCAAGCTTGCTGGCCAGTATGGTGATCTCTCCCTACGTCTGTGCCTTTAGCACTGGATGCTGTCTGTCCATCCTGCTCATATCTGGTACCGATGCCAACCCAGAGACACCTGTCAACTGTATGCTCCATGTTCTGGGCACTGTTACTATGGCTGAGCATTTTAAACAGGTAGTCCTGTGGCTTTCTATTTGGGAATGGTGTTAGGCATTTGATTTCATAACAGCCACATGGCCAGTTTTTAAATTTATCATTCTCTCTGGATCCACCCTGGCCCTCCAATCAATATTCTTGTGTGACTCCCAGCAAATGTCACTAATCTAGCTGCATGTGACCTTCCTGCTCATAGTGCTGGTCTTCAGTCTCTGCAACCTGTCCTTCAGTATCCCATGATTTCTGTTTTACTGAATTCAGAATGACTTTTGTATACTCCCTGTTCATCTTTATTTGGTTTCAGCTGCTCTGTCCCTTGTTAGCAGCAGCATCAGCTCCATCATTTACTCTTTTACTACATCAGATAACATTGATATGAGAAGAGCCTCAAACTGGTTGTCCACAGTGTGCTGCAGGACACTCCTGAGGTGAGTAAAAGTGGAAGTGGCCATCAGCATGAATTCCAGGAGAAATAATTTCTTAAAATATTTAAGCTTGGAGGCCCTGATTCTAAAATAATGAAGGTAAAAATCCTTCCTCTGAGGGCTAAGTAAGACAGTGCCTATTAAACTCTGATTACAGTGTCTCTGGAACTGCCTCACGTGCTTCAACCCATCTCTGTGTGAGCTTTGCCAGGTCAGGGTCCAGGACTCTTCCTAGTTTTGACAAATCTCATATTCAGTGCAAGGCTAAAAGGGCAGGAATGCCTTCTCCGTCTACATCCTCAACCTGGCTGGAGCCGACTTCCTTTTCCTTGGTGTCCATGTTGCTAGGTCCCTGGAGCAAATCATCAAGTCCATCTTCAGCCATGACAAGAAGGAATTCATCCCATTTTTCTTCACCACTGTGTTGAACTTCACCTATATCACAGGCCTGAGCATTCTCAGTGCTATTAGCACTGAGCGCTGCCTGTCGGTCCTGTGCCCCATCTGGTACCATTGCCACCGCCCAAGGCATCTTTCAACAGTCACATGCACCCTGCTCTGGTCCCTGTCCCTGCTGATGAGCATCCTAGAAGGCAAATATTGTGCTTTCCTGTTCACAGGTTCTAACTATAAGTGGTGCCAGGTATTTGACTTCCTCCTGTTCGCATGGCTGATTGTTTTATTCATTGTTCTCTCTGGGTCCAGCCTGATGCTGGTGGCCAGGATTCTCTGCAGTTCCAGAAGGACACGGCTAACCAGTCTCTACATGGTCATCCTGCTCACCACTCTGGCCTTCCTGCTCTTTGGCCTTCCCTTCGGCATTTACTGGTTCCTCTTATTCTGGATTGAAAATTATTTAAAATCATTATTTTGTGATATTCCTTTGGTTTTACTTGTTTTGTCAGCTATTAACAGCAGCATTAATCCAATCATCTACTTTCTAGTTGGCTCCTTCAGAAAGCGACAGTGGCGTCGGCAGAGGCAAACCCTCAGGCTGGTTCTCCAGCGGGCTCTGCAGGACACTACTTAGGTGAACGAACATGGAGGCAGCTTTCAGTAGGAAACCCTGGAAGTGACCAGAGACAGTCTGGTATAGAGACCAAGAGCCTCAGCACTGGTCAGATACATGTGACTTTGAGAGTCAACTTTGCCCTTATCGAGAAATTTCTTAACTTCTTTGAGCCTCGGGTCCATGATCTTAAATAGGTTAAGACAAAAATCTTTCTCCTTCAGATTAACCAAGAGGGTGCCTATTAAATTTGATTACAGGCTATGTGGAACAGCCTTACTCAGGGACTTCAACCCACTTCCATGTAAGCTTTGCCAACTTTTTTTCACAGCTTTGTCCAGGACTGCTTCAGTTTTTGAAGAATCCACCTTTCAGCAGAAGGTTGAAATCAGCACAGGAAAGCTTTAAATTTCTTTAATCAGTGCACTTAATAGGGAATTTAAAAATGGACTAAAGCCTTTTGCACAAGTATCTTTTGTCTCTTTCATACAATTTCAGTCTTGAATAAAATGAAAAGAATTAAATTCCAATCTAGCCCTGAAGAGCAATTTTCTTTCACTTTGGAAGGCCTTAGAATCTCTCTAAAGGTCGATAAATGTTTATTGGATAAATGAGTTAATGAATGAACATAAACTCATGAATTTTTGAAAGTCAAGCCTATAGTAAATCTTCATTTACCAGATTTGATTCACTTTCATGAAAATTACTGGTTTCACACTTTTAGCTTTGAAACCATGAAACTGAGTATAACTAGATCAATCAATATCAAAAATACTTAAGGTTCGAGGTAGACTGTCTTCCAGTGGTTTCCTCTCACATGCCTCTTTGAGAATAACTCTTGCATCCCTTTCCACTCCTTCACATTTCTTCTCCCTAATTCTTTTTATTTGTTCTGCTCTCTCATCCCTCATGTAATTTACTCACTGTACATCTTTATAATGCACAACATGGTTTTTTTCCCAGCATGAAAGTGGTGCATATTAATCAAGTCAAAGATATTACCATATACATTATCAACAGAAGATCAGGTGATCCAGACCATTCAGGGGCTTGACTATTCCTTCACTACAAAATCCCACACTGCTTGGTTGGTCTGCTTCCTACACAGTCTCATGGTGGGCAACAAAGACTCCAAGATGATGATTCCTTGCAGGGAGAGGGACTGTATAAGATAGAAAGGGAGAGGCCAAGATAAGTGACTGGAATCGAGCAAATGGTGATAAACATCTCCTGAGGTGTCTTGACTGTCATTTGCTGGTGCCTCCATTCATGAATTCACAGGGATGTCTGGCATATTAATGAGCCTCTCTGTAACCAGTATTAATGGGGCGCTCCCTTCATCCTGACCCTGGCACAGCATCACATGATATAGAAAGACCTTCTTACATCTGTTAAAGTCAGGCCTTCTTTCCTGTTGACTCTGAGTCTTTTGGAGAAAAAAACTTGTGCTTTTAACCAATTACTAAATTAAGAAGTTTATAACCTGTAAGACACCAGACTTCCAGATGTCCCACCTATTTGGGCCAGGTCAATGTAAAGTTCCATATATTGATTTGTAATATTGTTTGTGTCTTCTGTCCTCAGAACTGAATAAAAGAGTCACTATATCTAAGCACCCCAAAATACTTTCTCAAGACTACTAGGGATTACTTCTGGGTATTGGTCATTCATATTTATTAGAATAGTTTTAATAACTTCTACAGATATTGGTTATTTCCACTGACATAACATAACCTGTGGATGGTGAGTGCTGGGGGTAGAGGTATGGTTGGACAACAGAATATTTCCTTGTCAGAGTGCTGCAGTTCCCAGAGCTCAGGCTTTAGGGTCAGTGAGGATCGGGTTTAAATCCAGGACCCAGAAATCTCTACCTTTGATAATTACTCAGTCTCCACAAATCTCCATATCCCACCTCTGTAACACACACAGACAGTAATTCCCACAGAGAAAGATGATCCTGAGAAACAGTGAGCACACAATGGGCACTCAAGTCTTGTTTGTGTTCCCAGGACACCAATGAAGGGTTTCTGAGCATGAATCCAACCATACTAGCCTGGAGGACAGAACTCACACCAATGAATGGAAGAGGCCAGGTGATTCCTCTACTTGGTGAATTGGACACCCTGACCCTAGGCTCACTGACCATCATCTTTGTTCCTGGTGAACTGGCAGGAAATAGGGTTGTGGGACTTTTGGGCTTCTGCATATGCAGGAAATCTCCTCTACATCATTAGTGCTGGCTTCCTCTTCCCTTGCAGCCGCTATATCACACATTCTCTGCTGGAACTCAGCAGACCTTCCATTCCATCTCTGTCTCTACTGCAAGCTTGCTGGCCAGTATGGTGATCTCTCCCTACGTCTGTGCCTTTAGCACTGGATGCTGTCTGTCCATCCTGCTCATATCTGGTACCGATGCCAACCCAGAGACACCTGTCAACTGTATGCTCCATGTTCTGGGCACTGTTACTATGGCTGAGCATTTTAAACAGGTAGTCCTGTGGCTTTCTATTTGGGAATGGTGTTAGGCATTTGATTTCATAACAGCCACATGGCCAGTTTTTAAATTTATCATTCTCTCTGGATCCACCCTGGCCCTCCAATCAATATTCTTGTGTGACTCCCAGCAAATGTCACTAATCTAGCTGCATGTGACCTTCCTGCTCATAGTGCTGGTCTTCAGTCTCTGCAACCTGTCCTTCAGTATCCCATGATTTCTGTTTTACTGAATTCAGAATGACTTTTGTATACTCCCTGTTCATCTTTATTTGGTTTCAGCTGCTCTGTCCCTTGTTAGCAGCAGCATCAACTCCATCATTTACTCTTTTACTACATCAGATAACATTGATATGAGAAGAGCCTCAAACTGGTTGTCCACAGTGTGCTGCAGGACACTCCTGAGGTGAGTAAAAGTGGAAGTGGCCATCAGCATGAATTCCAGGAGAAATAATTTCTTAAAATATTTAAGCTTGGAGGCCCTGATTCTAAAATAATGAAGGTAAAAATCCTTCCTCTGAGGGCTAAGTAAGACAGTGCCTATTAAACTCTGATTACAGTGTCTCTGGAACTGCCTCACTTACGTGCTTCAACCCATCTCTGTGTGAGCTTTGCCAGGTCAGGGTCCAGGACTCTTCCTAGTTTTGACAAATCTCATATTCAGTGCAAGGCTAAAAGGGCAGTAAAAGGTCGAAATATTTTTGATTAGTGCACTTGATAGGGACTAAACAAAAGTTATTTTTGACAAGTTTCTTTTGCCTCTTTCATACAATTTCAGTCTCAATAAAATTAAAAGAATTCATTTTTAAAAAAGTTTTTGCCATAGGGTCTGTGAGCTTGCTGCAAAGATTGTGAAAAGTAAATTGAGATATAAATCTCTGAAGAGATGGCCATGCTGCAATCCCTTCTCTCCATTCTTCTCCTGGGATTTTGAACACACATGCACATGTACACAAGATGAGTTTCAAGCTATGGGATCAGGATTCAAACCATGATTGACCATGAGAGTCCAGTTCCTTAACCACTACACTACTTGCTGGCTCCAAAATAATTAAAAAGTAAATTGAGATATAAATCTCTGAAGAGATGGCCATGCTGCAATCCCTTCTCTCCATTCTTCTCCTGGGATTTTGAACACACATGCACATGTACACAAGATGAGTTTCAAGCTATGGGATCAGGATTCAAACCATGATTGACCATGAGAGTCCAGTTCCTTAACCACTACACTACTTGCTGGCTCCAAAATAATAATTTTTTTTTGAGAAAGTGATTTTTGCTATAGGGTGCTTTCTGTTTCTCTGTGTCTCTCTCTCTCTCTTTCTCTCTCTCTCTCTGTTTTTCTCTCTCTCTCTGTCTCTCTCTCGAGAAACAGAAAGCAAGAAATCACCCCGTGGTGAGATGGCCCTGCCAAAATCCCTTTTCCTCCATTCTCCTGTTGGGATTTTGGGCACACATGACATGCACTCACCGTGAGTTTTAAGCCACCAGTTCTGGGTCTTGAAGTATGGTTGACTACGTGGGAGTCCAGCGACATAATCATTACACCATCTACTGGTCCCAAGAATTAAATTTTAATCTAAGTCTAAAAGGGCAGTCTTTTTAATTTTGTCAGGCTTTAGATCACCTCTCTAGCTAAATAAATATTTGTAGAGCCAACCACTATGGTGCAGTGGTAATGTAAGTGCCCTGCAAGACTGGAAGCCATATGACTGACTGTGAGATGAGTTAGCTTGAAAAAACACTGGGTTCCGTAACAGATGCTTAGGATAGTGAAGGGGAATCAAAGCATGATGGGACCTTGTTAGATACTTTCTCTTTCTCGCACATGTACTCTCTCTATTAAAAAAAAATGTATTGGATGAATGACTCATTCAATATATATGAACTGATCAATTTTTTAAAGAGGCTTTTTGCCTCAGGGCACATGTGATTGCTGGAGAGAGAGAGAGACAGTGAGAGGGAAAGTGATAAATAAACCCATGAGGAGTTGGCCACATCACAATCCCTCCTCTTCTAATCTTCTCAAAGGAGTTTGGGGATGCACACACACACTCCCGGCATGACTTTCAAGCCACAGGATCTGGGACTCTCACCATGGTCAGCCATGTGACAGTCAAGCAATATAACTGCTGCACCATCTGCTGGTCCCAAGCTGATGGATTTTTAAGTCAAGCCTGTGCTAAATTTGCTTTTTTACCACACTTGATTAACCATCTTTAAGTTTATTATTTTCATAACTTTCAGTTTTGCAAGCATGAAATCAAATTTTATAATCATAACAATCAATGTTGAAATGTATTTAAGGTTTGAGATGGTTTGTCTTTCTGTAGTTTCTTTCACATGCCCTCTATTAGAATCCTTCTTGAATCTCCTCATATTCCTTCACTTTTGTCTTTATCCTGATTCTCTCTTTCTGGAGTCCCTCTAATCCCTCATGGAAAGTTGCCAGTGGGACTCAGTAGATTCTATATTCTTTGAGGACAAAATGTATTACAGAATTATTTTTTATGCCAAAGAGCTCACAGACAAGCATCTGCATAACCCACCAGGTTGTCTGACATATGTTGAATTCGAGGTTAAGGCCCCCAGACATTCACAGCTCTTGAATTCTACAAACCTGAAGAATTACCACCACATGCATGTCACTGGTGTCTGCTGCTTAAATATTCTAAAGCAGATGGTGGAATGGCAGTCTTTTTTTTTTTTTTTTTATCCAATTTTTTTATTTTTTTTT